GTGCTTCTATTCTGATAATCATGACTAAGCACCTATTGCGTGGCTCTATGATGGCCGATTCGCGAAACATAAAAATTAATAATATCGCTATCGTGTTTGGCGCTAGTTTGGTTCGCAGACTGACACATGTTAGAAAAAACTACCTTTTCAATGTAAAAACCTCCTCCCCGAACTGAATTTTATCAATTTATGTGTATATATATATATATATATATATATATATATATATATATATATATATATATATATAATATTATGTATATATAGTATATTATGTGTGTATGTGTAAAATTTTTAGATTTTGTATCACCAACTCACAAAATTTGTTTTCTGCCACAATATTGTTATAATTCTCTGTATATATAGTACACGAAAAAGTGTATATAAATGTATTTCGGAAGATGCATTTAATTGAAAAATTTTTTACAATATCAAACTACTGTAAATTTTATCCGTGTTCTTCCGCGATCGTGTTTTTTCAACGATCTAAAGACGTTCATAATTAAAGTACAATAAAATGCTTTTATATTAGAAAAAGAATCGTATCGTATAAGCAATTATGTAACATTAACATATGGACAAAAACAAACAATATTTAAGAGTTATAAATAAATATTATTGGAGGGGACATACGCAATCAGGCTTCCAAGTATCGTCTGGCACTTGTTCAGCCCTTGGAATTTTGTATATCATGTAGTCAACACACCACCAGGGATGTGATCCGAATAATGGAACATGGCTGCATGTACAAGTACACTGAAAAGAATGGCGTACTGCAAAGTTTTTCGTTCTCACCAGCCGTAACCTAAGTAGAATAGCCAACCTCACTATGGTCACTGCTAAGAAAAAGTGAAATAACATCACAGATAACCTCTGAAATAGGAAATAAAATACTTCTATCAAAAGTAATTCATTGCAACAAACTGACAATAAGTGCTAAATCAACGTGCAAAATAAATATCATGAGATATCCAGTTCTTCCCAATGATATACCGCAAAATTTGTTGAGTAGTCGTGAGTCCAGATATCGATTCATCCGCAAAATAATCAATCCGCCGATAAAAGGTCCCACTAGGTGTACAAATCACCTTCAACACAGAGAAACTATCTGTCCTTTTCTTTGTTGAATTGTCCTGGGGGCGGGGAATGTACACACCCACTGATTGACCCCTCGCCCCACTGCCTCGTCCAGTTGCAGTGATTCTGCCCCACCTGCCTGATTTCCAACGCCTTCGCAAAAAGTTACTCGGCTGTCCCACCAGCCTACCCGCGGCCGAAGTCGGAAATCCCGTCGGCGGTAACTTCATTGCATTGTTCTGCCCAGAATTTATTATCGGACAAAACACTTAGATTCGTTCGTTTCAATACATTGTACAGGAAATCGGTCAATATTTTTCACATTAACTTTGAGATTCCATTTTCCTGACCTCCCATGCTGGTTAGGGGCGACCCCCCCCCCCCGAAAACGCTTAACTTCCAAACATTTTTTGGAAGATAACATATAGATTTCAGCATAAGATACTTAACTTGGATCCCGCCCAAATCCTCAAAAGGACTTTCAAGGACGTGGGTCTACAATTTCTAAGTTATGCACGGCGGTAATGTATGGTGTATGCTTATTGTGAGTTGTGGACTGTATGCACGCCTGCTGATTTCATTATAATCCAAACAGAAAAAAATCTATACTTTTTCTTCTTAAATCATTTTTATGCACTCATGGAAGGTAATTATCTATCCAGCAATAGCATATTTACGAGGTTTTGTATTCATGCATGATTTAAATCGAAAAGAAACGTCATTTTTCTTTATCGTATATTATTATATACAAGGAAGTCAATAAAAACAATATAAACTACCGTACTAAAAATGTTAAAGGAAAATGACAGAGGAAGAAATAAAATAAAAAAATGTTTGTTTAAAATTGCAGAAACTTTGAATACCAATTTATTTTTACAAATAAAAAATATGAGCTCAAAGTGAGTGATACATCTGCATAATCGAGTCATTGTTTGGACAACGGAAGGCGAAACTCTGTTGGCAACAGAAGGCGAAACTGACACTAGAAATTATCTGCTTATAAAAAATACTTTCATGCGAGTAACTAGATTTCAATGTATGCGAATACGAAAAATTTTATTATTATCAAGTTCCTTAATCTCAATGAGGTAACGCTTCTAAAATAAACCAGGAAGTATTGAAAGAAGTGGTCCTACATAACGGCAGAGACTTTCATGTTCTATTTAATTTCCTTTTCTCTTCGACATCTAAAAGACTGCCAGGGTATTTCACGGTATCTATCACGTTTCCTGGAGGTGGTAAAGAGCACATTCGCACACTCTGAATATCGAAAAGACACATCGCTACCGCACAACACTACCGCACATGCCGGGAGTCTGTTTGGAAGCTAGAGAGCTTGTTCTGGCTGGAGTGATACATGGTTGAGGAAAACCCCACTAGACGATAGGTAGGTCGGTGCCGGTTGTCACAATTATGTAGATGCATGAACTACACTTACGGGACCTGTGTGTGTGTGTGTGTGTGTGTGTGTGTGTGTGTGTGTGTGTGTGTGTGTGTGTGTGTGTGTGTGTTCTTATCCGTTGACGCGGCCGGAGTCACTAGTCAATCTAAAACCCATCTCGGCCCTGTACCTTTACATATTTGCTCATGGTATTCTTTGGTCCCGCCTCGATGTTTGTATCTTTGTTTTAGCACAAGGTCTGAAATGCTCCCCGTGTCTCCAATACAACTAAATTCGTACTAACAACTTAAAACAGTACTAACAAATGTTAGCATTACAATCTCGCAATAATGCATGAAGTAATCAACAATTATCTCAAAATTAGCCAAGTCAACTCCAACAACATTTACAGCACATTTCAGCTTACAGTGATTTCGTTTACTTCATCTTGTTTTATCAAAAATATGTAGTACATCTATACGTGTATGTTTCAATGTCGTTTTAGATTTTTTGAAGGATTTTATGACTTACATTTTTAAAAATATTTTTAGTCTATATAGATATACTTATTCTTTAGCTAAATTATCACAATGGTTTCATTTTGCGTAATGTAGGGACTAATGTTGGTATGTATCCCAGTTGCGTAGTTGTACAAGTGGTCGTCGGGAGCATGGGGGCGCCACTTGCCGTCTTCCGCCTGCTAGCCCCGTTGCCCGCACGACAGTAATGCCGCACATGTTGCAGTCACAGTCTCTGCAGGGGCTCCCCCCACAACACACGTCCCAATTGCGTTACTCTCATTTCTGTCAAAGTATATTAGGGCGTGGTCGCTGAGTAATATGTAAAAATTATTCGCATTCCTTTCACAAACATTCACTAATTTGGGCTGGGTCTGTGGTATTTTTGTCATTCCGCCAATGCCATTCCGTTTATGTCATTCTGCCAATGTCGTTTTCTCCAATTATTTTTTGTTATTCAGCCAACTGGAGAATGTTCGCATGAAACCATTGCATTTACCAGCTTTGAAACCTTTTTAAAGAAACATTACTTATATAGATTTTTATTTGTGTTGGAGAATTGATATGTTAGAAGGTTTGTTGAAAAAATGTTGAAAATGAATAAATTAAAATGAATAAATATTGAAAATGCTCAGTGATATTAGACGATTCTGCTGTCTGTTTACCTTCGACGCATAGTCTTATTTTGAATTTCTCTATCCAATAATTCATATTTGTACCCTCACATGCATATCAATTGATACAATATTTCATTTAGTGACGATATCGAGAAAAAACGTGAAAATTATTCCCAACCTTCAAATGCACACAATGAACTGATACATTGAGGCATGATTCCCGCAATGAAGTGACACATTGAGCTGACGTTTAAGCCCGCATGGATGGTGAAAGAATACGTATTGCACAATCGCTCATCGGAAATGTTACACTGTTTTAGAACCTGCCGAAATAATCGTCCCTGGTCGTGAGCAAAGCATAGCGGAAGTAGGTAGTTGTGAAGACTCATATAGGTTCGCCAGAGCTCTCTGTGTCACTCAAGACTCTTATAGCACGAATGGATATATTTAAATTGTAAATCTGAATCTAAATCTTGTGAAAAAAAAGTGTGCAAAATCATGTTATGCTGCTTTCCTAATCTCTTTAGTCAGGGTTTTTCGGTCTTGCCCAACACGTTATCAAGCTTTTTCTTTCGGCACCTACGTTTATTCTTTCATTTTCTCAATTTTTTGGGGCCCATAATAGTAGAATTGAAATATGATTTTAAGGATATTATATAACACTTAAAACGTTAATCATGAAAACGTTATGGTGAGGTCTATATAATATCAACAGCCAAATATATAATAAATCATTTTATTGTAGCCGGCTGTGGTAACTCAAAAGCAGTATTACATCAGCAGCGACTTGGCGACTTTGTACCTTGCTGGGGAAGATACTTGGTGAAGAAAATCCAGTGAGGGAAGAACACATCCACCTGCCGATATGTAACATTCACTTTACTTACGGGACTAATAGAGTAAATATTACGCGTCTGGAAACACTACATAATAAAGTCGTAGTCGTTTTGTGGCTTCCATCTAGCAGACAACTGATGATGATGGCTAAGCCATCGAAAGCTGCTATTGAATTAAAAAACATTGTTGGCAATGACAACATCTTTAATTATACTAAATAATAAATCATTGACCAACGCGAGCACTTCTTTCATCCCCATCCCTTATGTCCCCACTGCCTTACATTTGCAGGGGAGGGATATTCTGGTATCCAATTTCGAATGGCACATCCCTTTTGATCTGAGATATCTCCGACAAATGCATATCTGAGTGAATGCTGCTAAAGTTTTAAGAGTTCCTCGTGAAACTACTCGAATAAGGTAGATGAAAATACAATCATAATGAAGTATACATTTACTAAATAAATTTATTTATTTTGTATGATGTTGTGCAAATATTTTGTAATTATTACACAACATAGAAAATGAGATACAGTAAAATAAATAATAATATATATTGAAATATTTTTGCAGCTATATTATGAAAAGGAGTACAAGATCTTGACGTTGCTGGTGGAGCTTGTGAACCCCTCTGAACCTGAGAGCTACGCCGGCGGTAGCGCAGCTACTGGTAGGGCCTTTCTTGTCGGACAGGTCGAAGATGAGGGGGGTCAGACGAATAAGTACTCCAGAAGAGGACCTCAACGCCGAAAGAAGTCGCCAACTTCAGAAGAGGACCTCCAAGATATCTTGGGCGAAGATCTTTGACGGAAATGGCGAGAGGTGCCTCAAGGGGTAGATGGAACCCATAGCCGAAGTGAAGGCAACCGTCTAAGGGAAAGACCCCGACAAAAAACAAGCAGGACTGAATGCTTCACGTTGGCAGCCCCGACTTCAGCCTACTTAGCTGTGGGCTGGTAACTCACACCAAAGAATCATAATCTACTCGCAATCTACACTATAATCCAGATACTTACATACGACGACATGCCAAGAACAAGAGAACAGAAATTGTGGAATTTATGAACGCAGCCACACGGAACGTGAGAGGTCTGGGAATGAAAGTCGTAGAGCTAGATAAGCTTCTGCATGAAAGGAAAATACAAATAGTTCTACTGAGGCTAAGAAGAAACTGAAAGGAACAAAATAATCATGTAACTACATAATCATATGAAGTGGTGTATCAGAGGGTGTAAGAGCAAAATCAGGGGTTGCCATATTGATTCACAAAAGATTGAAATCTAGAATAGAGAATTATACGTATGTGAATGAAAGAATAATGACGGTAAAGTAGATAGAGGTCATCTGACGGTGATAGTAGTATATTCCCAAGAAAAGGGAAGGAAGGCAGAAACAGAAATATTATTCAACCAGCTACAAAATTAAATCGATAATGTCAATAAGAACGATAGTCACCGTATATTATAATATACGGTGATTTTAATGCCAGAGTAGGTATTATACCTATCCCAGGAATTGTCGGAAATCAGGGCGAACAACACTTGAACTAAATTGGTAAAAAGCTGAGAATATTTGCTTCTACCAACAGTTTAAAAATTAGAAATACTTTCTTTAGGAAAAGAGACATAAAAAACATACGTGGTGCGCCCAAGGATTCATATCAATAATTGATTACATATTAATAAATAATAAAATACGAGCACAGCTGAAGGATGTAGGTTTCTGAAGATACGATCTGTACACTGACAATTACATTAAATGGTGTAAGGACGACGATTTAATGGCCAACGTACAACTATAATGTATTCCTTCTTAAAGACTGAAGGTTAAGAAGCGAATAAAGAAATATTGCTATCCATGGTTGGCACAACAACTTCTTCATATGTATCTTTCTGATATTTTTCTGATGGTAATCTGCTGATCGGTCCAAAAGGAGCCTGAAGAAATACTTACTATTTCGAAACATATACGATAAGTATTTATGATTGGAATAATCTGTAATATTGCTGTAAACATCTGCACTTCTTTGTCTACTATAGTGTTCCATGTGTTTAAAATTTACTTTTTTTCTATCAGTATAAACGATTCGTGTTAACTCAAGAATTTCTCGAACTTGTCCTTTTTCCTAAACCTTTGATCACATTGACAACTGAACTACCTGGCTCCAACTGTTTTGATATCATTAGATCTACTGTAACAAACTCTTTTGAACGTATGTGATTAATAATATAAGAAAAATAAAACAGCTTTGCAAGTATGCAATCAAAGTCTGCCGATATATGCAAAAGAAACGTATACTTTTATGATATATGCAGCTAATGTCTTAATACCATTACAATGGACTGAACTATTTGTTCTGCTGTGTTAATGGTAAACAGTCTGAAAATTATTCTACAGCAGTCTCATAATAAATTTTCAATTTGAATCTGTGGAAATTTCGAACAGAAATGAAATTCCGTGAACGAGAGTGAGATATGCACATGCTTTAATGAGCAGCTACCGTGTCTAAGTATTCAGTAGCACGATTCACATGAACAAACAAGGAAAACCGCGCAGAAAGCACGAACCATTTTGCCTCTCGTGCCGAAGTGTGCGGGCAGTAGTTTATTCTTAAGAATGAACTCTCGACGTAAGCGCCCGATTTCCGACCCGGAATTTCGAAACTCACACTTCCTACATACTGTACAGAATTCCTATCGAATTAAGTGTTAGCTGCAGATTTCCTCGGGGTTTTATATCTTCCCCCGTATTTCATATTGCATGATTCTCTTCATCAATTTTACCTCGTTTTGATTCCTTTCTGCTGTATTTTAATTATCAGCAGCAGCCTTCATAACTAATAGTTGAAAAGACAGATGTGTTCAGTGAGCTATGATGATTCGATCATCATGTGTCTGTTTCTATGTTCACTATATCGCAAATAATACAATAGTAATAATAGTAATAATAATAGTAATAATAATAATAGTTATAGTAATAGTAATTATTAAATTCATCTATTTATTAGTGTAAATGTATTATCATTATCAAATAATAATTAAATCAAATGCGTAATGCAGAAGTTAAAACATTTCCTTTCTATTTCATGATATATTTCCGTACTGAAAGAACCTTCCAATGTAAACATGATAATTGCTTTAGTCGTTGCTGTCTGAACAGACCTCTTTATCTTTCGTTTTATACGCACACTGAAACATTAACGCTTAAAGTTCAACTATAAATTGTAATCAATTTCTGAGTCAAAAACTTCAATTTCTATTGTCTTATCAGTGTAAATTTCAAAATCATATTTCGTCTTGCTTCCGGAAAATATTTTGTCGTTATCAGTATTTTACTCTTTGAGGCAAATAAATAAGTAGGTAAATAAACAATATATATATTTCTTTTTGTTGATATCTAATGTTTGTCTAGTGTTCCAAAAAAGACTAGTTTTTAAATAACTGAGAAGGTAATGAAAAGCAAATGATTACATAAAAAGTTAGTACTTGTATTTTCGTTTAATATTTTGAAAAAGCTGTTTTACATTTCAATATGTTATTAATATCATTAAATAAAATAACCGTATTAATAAAATGTGAAATAATAACTAAAGCAAGACATTTGTCTTTCTATACTTTTAAGGCACATTTATCTGCATAGAAATAATATTAACGAGCAGTATATGGCCACGTCCCAGACAATCCTTCAACATCAAACCTTCCAACACATATTGAAATGAAAATATCTAGTTTTTTAGAAAATTGAGATCCCATTCGTTATGCAGATATCGCGAATACCCATTGCGTTATCCCAATTCAGAATTCATTCACCATTTGCATTCACCCAAAGCACCTCGCTTTAGCAAATCATCGTGAGATTAAGCAAACAGCACTATGTTTGAGTATAAAACGTTATATGTGTGCATGTACCTAATGAAAAGAGGTTTTCGGTAAAATAAACAAGTGAAGGAGTACGCGCGGAGTTGTTAACATCCTTCCCCTCCCCTCCCCTCCCCCCCTTCCAACCAGGTCCTCCCGCTGGAGATTATAGCGCAAACACAGCTCCGAAGGAGAGGGCACACGAGAACCTTCAGTGCGAGAGTAGGGAGGACAAGTGCTGCTGCTTCTTGGTTCCTCGTCATCAGCTGATAGCCGCAACTTGGCTTACCAAAACAAATACGGCTACAGCTCATTGGAATACTCCTGCATATTTAGAGCAGAAAAACACAAGTTTCCGCCAGCCACTTCTCCTTAAGTACTGCATTACCATTTTCGTCTTAATAAGAAATTGTGTCACGTACACATTTAGGAATGGCTTAATGCGTTGATGTGTGCAAATGTTGGCATTATAACGAAGAGGTTCATTTATTATTCCGTCCATCTTTCATTTCTTTATCCATCCCTTAAAAGGGGTTGTCAATGAGTTCATGCACAGGTGATAATTACGAGGGATTTAAGTGTGGTGGATATGCGGGGGAATGAGACGCAAGTGAGAAACAGATGAACAGAAAAGCAATCTGCCGCAAACCTGGTGTGCTGATTAAAAAATTCAAATAGTTGCGCCCTTGTTTTACAAAGAGATAAAATAATATCGCACCTGAATCAAGGCTAGCAAAACACTCTTGTTTTTTTTTAGTTCAGAGTACGGAACAGTACTTATATCTGATTGGTTTATTGAGAACATCGCGTTTTTCTCACATTTAACCATGTTACATATCAATTCTGAAGGCTCAAGTCTATCCTCGTTCTCTTACTTCAGAGGGTTCAAAATATCTCTCGCATTTTACATGCACCACCACCTCTTTCTTTTTCTAGAGAAAAATCAGTAATATCCTGAAATGGATTATTATTGAAGTGTCACCAACACAGGAACACTCCTCTATTGGCATACAATTGCGATTTCTCTTGCGATTAGGAAAGAGTTTCATATGTGTTTTTGAAAACAAGAACAAAGAATCCGTACTGAGAATTCTGCAACCGAAACTCGCAGAAGAGAGAAAAAGTGTCTGTTGTCTAGAAATATTAACCTACTCGTTTACATTATCCGAAAATTGATTACATAAAAACAAGTTAAAAGTATTATTTCTTGGGAAGACTGAGATAACTTTTTAGGCGAACGCGTCTTGTTGAAGGGTCATGTATTGCAGCCCATCTATGATCCTACTCTTCCTAGAACTGAAATATTGCGCAAGGCTGCCGAAACAACCACGCTTGCTCTGGACGAAGATAGATATAAGAAAGAGAAGAATTCGACAGAGCGCTATACAAAGTATAAACAGGACATTGAGAAGGAAGTCGCCGTGAAGAGATTTACTGAACATCCAGTAGTTAATTGTAGCATGTCCTCGTCTGTATTTTGAAAGAATGACCAGCCGTTTTCCGACCAGCACGATAACTTTCTTTTCTGAGAATCGATGTTCATAACTGTACCTAATTGTGGACAGCAAACAGGATGATCCGGTTTCTTCAAAAGTCTCCGTTTCCACTGCCTCTGACAATACCTTTTAATCATCACACTCGCATCAATTATTTATACCACTGATCCCAAGTTCTACTTATTACAAGTTATACTATTTATTACTATATACTATACGGCTTCTGATCCCAAGTTCGCGGGTTCAAACCCGGTCGAAGTAGCGGATTTTTTGAGGTGCAAAAAATCGTCGGCATGTAAAACAGATCTCAGGAAAGG